GAAGAGGAAGAGGAAGAGGAAGAGGAAGAGGAAGAGGAAGAGGAAGAGGAAGAAGAAGAACAAGAAGAAGAACAAGAAGAAGAACAAGAAGAAGAACAAGAAGAAGAACAAGAAGAAGAACAAGAAGAAGAAAATGAAGAAGAACACGAAGATGAGGATGAAGATGAAGATGAAGATAAAGATGAAGATAAAGAGGAAGAAGAACAAGAGGAAGAGGAAGAGGAAGAGGAAGAGGAAGAGGAAGAGGAAGAGGAAGAGGAAGAGGAAGAGGAAGAAGCTGAACAAGTCCTCAGTCCGCAACAGCGTGAACAATGTGATAGGCACTGGGCCAACTTAACCGAAGTCAGCAATATTTTGCAAGGAATCGAAACAGTCGTTGTTCCCCCGGTTGCGGCGGGGGGCCAGTCAAGCCTGGCTCGTCAAGTCGTACGCCCGGACCCGACTATCCGGGATGAAGACCGCGCCCTCAGGGAAACACTGACTCGTCTCTGGAATCAAAGCCATTATCTCAATGAGCTTCTGTGTATCAATTTCGAACGCAAGCAGGAGGAGAGGCAAAGGGAAATACTGCGCGCTGAAAGGGAAAGGAACTTACTGCACGCTGAGATGATGCAATTTACCGCCAATTTCCGGAGGATGTAAAAGGACAAAAGGTTATGCAAGAATTGATGGAATCGCGAGCTAATCACGATCACGCGATCTGGCTTGTCCCAGTATCCGGGGTAGACATCCCGTATCATTTGGATGCGGAATATCCATGCAATAAGCTTAATAATTGCTATCTTCCCATGTTATCGAGGTGTGAACATCTGTCTGTCAAACGATCCCATTGTGAAAGCGCTTCTTGCTGTACCTTTTAGCAAATGCCAGTGGCCTAAAGTAGCGAACCCATTGTAGCTACAACTGTGATTATCACTAAGTATCCGCATCCTGTTCCCATCCAGCCAATCTCTAGAATTCCCATGACACCAGAGGACCTTATCCGTCGTCTGCGCTTCCCTTGAACCACCCAATCGCACAAAAGCTTCATAAAGCAAGCACATCTTATCCCATGACACTATAACTGCAGACTGCACAACTTCGTCCTCTCACATCCGTCCCTCCCCCAAATCTCTCAAACACCCTCATTCCGTCCACGAAACAGCTGTCTATCCCTCCCGCAAAAAGCACTAAAATCCTGCTCCCGCCGCTCCAACGCTTGACGCATCCTTCTCAACTCCCCTTCACGCTGCGTCAGACGGGCTTCGCGAGCATCCAGATCGGCTGAACGTCGTTGGAACTCGAGAGACTGGAAAGCATGTGGTGGCGCTGCTCTGTTCTGTTCGCCTTGGTGTGTGGAGTTTGTGGAGTTTGTTTCGTCTGGGGGATAGTTGAATTGGGCTCTTTGCGGAGGTGCTGAGGATAGGGTGCGTTGCTGACCGAACTGGAACGGTTGAGGGGTTGGACGGGCGGGATGAGAGGCTATGTGAGGCCCTGAAGTTGTAGGTGGTGTCTCTGTTCGTCCGGCTGCCGCTTGTCCTGCGGCGAGTGCAGCGTGGAACTCACGATGTGTAAACACGGGCTCAGTGCGCCAGTTTCCGCGGTATGAAGTGTCACCGGATGTAGTACGTGACTGAGTCGTAGGCGGACGGGGCTGACTGGTACGCGCGTAAGGCCGGGGTGTACGTACAGGCTGTAGTATTGGATTCGTATCTCTCGTGGCAGAATCTGACATGGTTTCGCCCGCAGGGCCTTCGGGCACGCCCGAAAAGAGGGAAGGTGCGGAGTTGCCAGCTCTAAGAACCTCTGTAGCCTCTTCTGTCAAACGCCGACTGCGCGCCGAAAGGCTTTCATATTCGGCTCTGAACCATACGGCGCGACACAGCGGACAGAGATTGGTGTTGTCTTGGGTCTTGCGACGGGCGAAGATCTTCTCGAGGCAGGCTTGACAGAATTCGTGGTTGCACTGAGCGGGTGGCTGGACGACGCGCATTGCTTTGTGGCTACTTCGATCGTATTCTTCTGTGCATATCGGACAGTGGGCTTCTTCTCGTGGGTTGCGCTCACTACATGGCTTCAAGCAACGGCGTATGAATTGGGCACAGGCCAATGGCGCTGGTTCCATGTTGATTGATCGTGGCGGAGTTGGTGGAGTACTTCTAAGCGTTGGAGTGTTGAACCGACACCTCGGTGGTGTGAGAGGTTGTAGTCAGCCTTGGGAAGGTTGGGAGGGTATAGAAGTGGATCCGACGCAAACTTGCGCAACCCGGAGTGAAGAGCGTGGAATCCCCACGGACCAGTAGAGACATGGTGGGAAGAGAAGTGACGTAGTCTACGCGTGTTGAACCTGACTTAAGAAGATCGTAGAATAAATAGATCACATTGAGCTATCGAACCCGCTGATTACGAAGGGAAGCCTGGCTACGTCTAGCGCGCCATGCAGTGACAATATGAAGATAACATGACAGCGCTGTCAACCCAACTGACTTCCATCCAGTTATACGTACAAGACGTCAATTCCTCGGCCTTCACCTACTGTTTCGACAAGATCAACATTTGGAAGATTGAGAACCTGTATAGCGATTAGCTTGTGTCGTCTTAGTCCCGCGCGATATACTCACAGTACGCTGGTGATGAAAAGATACCCTTTGTCGACATATGTGAAAAAGACCAAGCAGCCCATTATCGATAGGTTCATCGATGCCATGACAGTACCCTTGACTAGGGCGTCTTCGTGCTCAGACATCATGTACTTCATGACAGCAGGTACTAGACCAGCGATTACAGCTGTGAAGTAGTAGGTGTACCTCTTCAAAGCAGCATCATAGAGTTTTGGCTTGCCGCTAACTTTGTCGGTTTGGAGGAATCTTCCGAAGATATTGATAAGTGTAAGCGATCGCTCGCAGACCCAAAGAGTAAACAAGTCGGGGTATTGGCGGGACTTGAGCGAGACCAGGTCTGTGGCTGCGGCTTGATGGCCGGAAATGCTTTCAGGATGGCCGTAAAGAGGGTTACAGTTATCTATCGGGTGATTGCGCACAGCGCGAGACACGTTGTAGGACTGAATTTGCTCGATATCGAAATGATCGGGGGGTGAAATCTTGTTCAGTTTACGCTGTCGCAGAAGTGTTTCTTCTAGAGGGGTGTTAGCGTTCGTCAAGGCCCCAGAGGATCACTGATCGAGTATACCATATTTCTCCAATTTCTGACGAATCTCCATAATGATATGATACTGCTTGGGCTTCACTCCATTGTTGCTCTGATTGCTCGCCATGGCCCAATCTGTGGCATATTTAGCGGTGGTCCTGGCATTTTGCTCATCTTCCATATCAGAACGAAGGTCCCACTCAAGGTAGTCAAGTTCGGCTTGCATGTAGAGGAGATTCTGTACACCGAGAGTCCGGAAGGTGCGGAAGAGGGCTCGCTCCGGTCCGCGTGTCATGAACTCAGCTAACCGTGGGAAGCCAGCTGGGAGGCTGACAACGTAGTTGCATGGTTCTTCGGGGTCATCAGAGTCGTCGGAATCTAGGGCTTTCTCGACGTTTTCAGCTTCCTTAGAGGGATTCTCTTGGATTATCTTGTAGTTTGACGTGTGTCGCGCAGGATTGCCATGTAGCTGGCCAGCAGGCACCGTGACAGCCGAATGCGCTTGCCGAAGCACAGATTTATCTATGTCTACACTTGCGAGGCTCACATGAGGCTGTGGAGAATGAGCCGAGGTGTGAAAAAGCGGAGTGTACTCCGGGTGTGAAGGGTCCCAGACCGGGACCTCGTCCACAGAACGTTCCGAATCACGTCCATCGGATGTAGCTGGTCGGATAGGTCCAAGTGTGGTGTTGTCGACATGGTCGAGATCTGGCGTTGGAGATGTAAACATGGTAACTATTTGTTAGTAATGGATACGATCAATGATTCTCTTGTAAATAGTGGAACTTATGCTGGAAAGAAACACAGCCTGCCGGAGCTGTACTTATATGCACGAAGTACGTCGAAAACGCAGCAGTATGACACCACCATTGAAGCAGATGAGCATGCAGATGACCCCAATTAACAAGAGTGATGGTGTCGGCGTATATTCCATGGTACCCGCAAGAGCCCTGTGAATGTACGCCACACAGGTCCGCCCAGCTCTTGTCACGGGTAGGGCTCTGACAAATCGATGGCAGTCACTTGTGAAGATACCTTACTTCACGAAATCTTGTGCCGTCGAGGATTCCCGTCTTGTAACGCGTACATGCGCCGTTCGGTCCGTCCTGTGGACACATCCGGCTCCACTGTTATTGTTGGCGGTGCGATCAGTCGCGGCCTTCTGAGTCTGAACGAGAAATTCTGGAGGCCAGGAAACTGCTTCAAGGATAGGTAAACAGACCAGTGTTGCAAACCCAAATGCTGCTGGTGAAGTATGCAGCTTCGGCGTTGGCTACTTCCACCAGGCCGTGCTATCATTATTTGTTTGCGGCCTTTCCAAGTCAACGAATATTCAAAGTCCTGCATGATTGATTCGCCATTGCCGTTGCGCATTGGAAAATTTGGAAAACGGCAGGTGAAGCTCGATGATGATTGAGGAAGAATGCGACATCTGACCACTGGTGTCGGCATGCTAATATAGGTTCTTTGCTGAATCGCGTGGGTGATGAGAGCTAAAGTATTATTGTACACGTTCGCGACTGTTCAAAGGTGGAAGCAGAGTCTGAGGTGGTGAAGCATGGATAGAAGAGATTGATGACATCATCCGCAGAATGGGCAAGAGCTGCCCGAACCCAGCCACGTGCCAGCCTTCTCACATTGCCCTGAACATCAAAGCTCGTCGCATATCCCAACGAAACGCATTATGAATCCTGAAGTCACTGGAAATCCGATGCAACGGCCAGCGGAAGCAATTGATGACTTCACGTGCGGGTTTGACCACTAGCTAGATCGCATGGTGGCATCACCTCGATACCTAATGCGTTTGTCGTATTCCCATCGACAATACATCGAAGCTGTTCAACACCTGAAGAGACACCAGTTTAATGTTGTAGAAGCCACTTCCAGGCCACATGCACCTGCACTGAAGTCCACTGCACTAATAACGATCTGCCTACCTACTACCTTGACATCTTTACGCCCCCACGTCAGCGCTCTCCACATCACCAAATGCTCAAATCTGCCGGGCACGGACTTCGCAAAAGGTCCGCCGTAAGACGAACGGAATTCGCAATCACAGGAGTCAAATGTGTCCTGGTAGGTGTCAGCCTACGCGAAGTCCGACGTCGTTCAGCATACGCAGCCTTGGCGACTACATCGATTCGAACGTGATCACATGGCATACGTAGACTACGGAACATGGCTGGAGTCGTGGAAAGAGTTTCTACCTGACCAAGTGGCTTGCGAATACACGTGTTGTTTCCTACCATGAACGGAGCTTACTAGGTACGCGTACAGCGCCCTGCCTAGAGCAGCGGAAGGCGTCTAAGAGGCGCATACTCAGTGTACTCCGTAGCTTGCTTCATTCAGGAGAAATCTGCGGGTTTACGCGTCAAACCACTGTCTTCTTTCCATCCAGCCTTACGTTGACGCGTTCGAAAGCTCCGGAGAACTATATATCCCATCGCCCTTACTACTACCCATCATCTCATCAACCACCACACTATCCTTCACTTCAACCCCCATTATTCCCACTATGAAGTCCCTCATCCTCCTCCCCCTCCTCCCCACCTCCCTCGCCCTCGTCGCCCCCCTCAAACGCCTAACCCCCGACCTCCACCCCCGCGCCGCACACTGGGGAACAAAGTCCTGGTCCGGTACTCATACCATCACCGTAACAACAACCCTAACCGTCACCGTCACCGCCTTCCCCACCGCCAACGGCACGTTCCCCAACATCACCACCACCGATGTGAGCGCGACGACCACCTCGAGCGATGATTTTGCGCCGATCACATTGATCACGCTGCCTACCGAGGCGGCTGCGACTACGGGGTCGAGCGATGGTCTGGCGCCCTTTACGTTGATCACGCTTCCTTCGGCTACAGATGGAGGGGATGCAGCTGCGGCGCCTACGCCGAATGATCTTGAGCCGATTACTTTGATTGATATTAGTGCTGTTACGCCTATTTAGATGGGATTGGAACGAAGTGGTAAGGTGAAAGAGGAGGCAGTAGGGTTATGTGGTAGATTGGCATGGTTGCGGGAACTGGAGACAGAGAACTGCTGAGTTGTTCTCAAGGAGGGGTTCGTTTTGGTGTACATATCGTCTTGCTATAGTTCTTGCAACTCCACACTCTTTTGATGTATCGATTCAGTCGCTCGTTTGGAAGTCTCGTTCATGTGCATGATTTGTGTTTGTGGGTTAGACTCACGTCTGGTGTGTTTGGGCATCAAGTATCAGTGGAACGGTAGCTGGAGTGAGGGGTATAAACCTGCTTTCTGCTTTCTCATACCGTATCAAGTATTGGCCTGAAGCGTACCCAAAAGAAGATTGAGGCCAAGAAGTCACGCCGTCGCCGTCCCGCAACACACGTATGGGAGGTCGTCAATGACAACTCTCAAACAGTTCCGTCGCACTCAACCTCATACTGCTGCTAACCTTACTTCCTCTCCTTACATGCTTCGACGCAAAAGCCCTATCACACGTTAGCACTACCTTCACATACACATCAGCAATGAAATGACTTACACATCCCCAACAATCTTCCTCAAAACCAGACTATCCACCCATTCGCCCTTGATCTGCGTCTTCTCCTTCGTCAAGCTATGTCTTTCAAACCCCAGCCTCTCCGCCAACTTCCAACTCCCCTCGTTCCTAGGATCGCACTCAATCTCCATCTCCAGCTTCCCTTGATTCTGCAGTCTTTCTTTCAAGGCATCGATGAAAGCTGTCATGGCTTCTGTAGCGTAACCCTGGCCTTGCATTGACGGCAAGAAGGAGAACCAAAGTTTAGCGTGGGTGACGGGTTTGATAGTAGATTCTCCTGGAAGGGAGTCGGAGTTGGCTTGAGATGTTTTGGCGCCGACGCGGCCGATGAATTGTTCGTCGAGCGTCTCGACGGCGAGTTCGTACTTCGTTCGCGGCACGTCGTTGTGGTTGCGGATGTTCTCCAAGACGAGCTCACGAGCTTGTTGGCGTGTTCGTGGGGGCCACTCCTGGTAACGTGCGTTTTGCTCGTTTCCTTCGAGAAGAAAGTAGCCTTCCTCGTCCTTCATCACGAACTCGCGGAGGAGCAGACGGGGTGTTTTGATAGCACCAAAACGCTCGCCCTTCACGTTTGCGCGGGCGATGGCTGCGAGTTCTTCTTTTGTGAAGGCACCTGAGGCTTTGAGAATCTTCTGAATGACGTTTCCCTTGGCGACCATATAGTCGACGATGTTGTTGGCTTTTGCCGCGAGTTCAAGCTTCACTCGCGCGTACTCATCCCTCAACTCGCTGTCAGAGCGTAGCGTATCTCGCAAGCTGAGGTGGTTGCGCGTTTGTGCAACACCGTCAACACACAGGTAAACGTTGTGGCGATTGGATTGGTTAGGGTCTTTAAAGGCATGACGGTCGACAATCCCCAGCTCTCCTAGGTAATCGAATTTCCCTTTCTCGATGAGAGCGTCGATAGCAGGCTGAACATTTTCGCGAGTGACTATGATGTCAACATCGATGATAGGTTTGGCGACAAGTCCCGGCACTGATGTACTACCCACGTGCTCGATCGAGAGGTAGTCGATGTCCTGTAGGTGATGTTCCAACTCCGACTTGATAGTTTCGAATTGCTGCGGCCATTCCTTGTTGTATTGCTCGATGGTGACAGACATTCTTGACGGTAGAAGAGAGGCGTATAGTAAAGCACTAATCAAGTCGGCGGCGCCTGGTCGAGGTTGAACAGGTGAATGTGTCGGCTAAACCTCCCAAGCTTGTGAAACGATCTCGCTTCTCACCCGGGCGCGCCCGAGGGGTGCAGGAGCAAGAATGTCGGTGTAACAAAAAGCATGAAAAGAGCACAGAGACAAGCAAGATAGCGGAAACCCGAGATTGAGGTGGTACATAGAGCCAAGATGCCGCTTGCGCACAAAGGGCGAATGCAACGCGGAGATACGGGCAAGACTCCGACCCGCTTGATTTGATTGCGCTCCAGCCTCCAGACTTGTTGAACTAATCATACTCTTCAATCTTGATCACAGGTATGTCTGCGTATGGCGGAGGCGCATCTCGGCCCAACAGAGCAGTCTCGGCCTCAGAGTCTGTGCCAGGCTTTTCCTGCTGTCTCTGCAGAAACAGGCGACGTGCCATGACGAGGCTAGCCGCAAGCAGTGCAAAGAGCGGGAGAAGTAGGGCATCCTTTCCAACCTGTATTCTGCCAACAAAAGCGTTCCAGGCCCTCGACAACGTGCCAAATCTACCGTACTCGTCCCATTCACCTGGGTCAAATGTTGTTTGCATCATGGCCAGCTTGCCACACTTCATCCTCGGCGGTGGCATCTTGCCCTTTGCGGAGACGACTAGTACTTCTTCGATGGAGAGTATATGTCCACCTTCCATATTCTCATCGTGTTCCTTGCGCACCAAGATCTGAACACTCTTCTGACCCAACTTGATTGGTTCAGCGGTCTCCCCCCAGGGCAAGCCCGTCACATTGAACTGAAGCCACCAAAGTTCAGGCTCGTCAGCGCGGAAGATGGTATGCTCGTATTGTAGGGGAAACATTATCCTGCTATGCTTGTTCGGATTTGAGGCGTCTTCGGAATCCGCATCCGTCTCTTCCTGCTCCACCTCGGTGGTGACCTGCTTCGCGTTTATGTTGAGAGGCATGGGATCGAGAGGGAATATGCGCTGATCGTTGAGAAGTAACGCATCATTGAATTCGGTCAAGACGAACTTAAGCAACTGATCACGGTCAGTCGTATTCATTCTGAGCGCTGTAGAGTGCACTTACTAGAGAGTTCTTTGGTGCCGGATGCAGCCATTCTGCCTTATGAGGACTCGTCCAAGCACGCAGCGGGCATCCCACGCATTCCAGCTTCACCGTGTATTCTCGGCCAGCCTCCTCTTCAATGACTTCGTTATGGTCCGATGTTGTCGGACGAGTGATAGCTGCGGTAGCCAGCGCCGAGAGACCGAGAAGAGCAAAAGGACGCATTGTGACGTTAATCGCAGACAAAAAGGAAGGGGAAGTCACAACACAGCTCAAAGAAGTGATGTTCGCACAAGGGAGGCGGGAGATGGCCGACGATGCCGGGCGACGCGTACAAGCCTCGGACTACGGCAACGCTAGCGCAGGGATCATCAGCGTGGGTAATGCTCATTCTAGAAGCCTGAAGCTTGTCTCCTCCTATACTCCTCTTTGCGTACAGACCGCGCATGCCGTACTTGTTGGTTTTCACGACGGTGCTGTTCGTGTTCACAAACATGGCGGCTCGTCATCCAGCCATACGGTCGTCGACTCATCTCTTACAAAAGCACTCCGCGTGAGCATCGATGTTCTGGGGGCGCAATGTAGAGAAAGGTGGATCCGGTATTGTCTTCACCCTCACATCAAGGCATGGCAAGGTTGGGAAGTTGTAGTCAGAATGGTCATGGAGCAGGTTCGCATTGAAGGACTGGGCGCCAATTAAGTACAACCCGATCGCCAGCACAGGGCTTTCCCCCATACATTGTATGGATATCTTTCCCTCATAAGCGCGTAGCATTGATCATATCCCTCAACACGTCCCCTTCCAGACATAGCATGGTTATATCTTTGAGTCGTTGTCAAATGGTCTCATATTTCCTTTTCCTTTTTACTCCTACGCCGCCGGCACATGCCAGGTTGTCAAAGACAGGGTATGTAAGAGAAGCATCGACGAAACGGGTCAAGACATCTACCACTGGGTAGTGGTAGCAGGGGCAGCGGTCTCGGCACCCCAGCCCTCGTTGCCAGTCTGAGCATCGCCAGACGCAGCCCAGTCGGCAGTGTCGGCGTCCCAGCTGGTGCCAGGGGCAGCAGCAGCCTGGGCGGTGAAAGCACCGGCAGATGCGCCGGAGACCTCCCACTCGCTGGTGAAGCCGTCAGCGACGGGACCAGCACCGACCTCATCGGCACCGGGGACCTTGGCCTCCTCGACGCCAGCGCTGTCCTTGTTCTCCTCAGCCTCGGGGTCGCGGTAGAAGTACAAGTCAGTCATGACGTCCCACTCAGTCTCGCGGTTGGCGAGGGTGCCGCGGAGGCGGAGGACCTCACGGGCAAGCATCCACCAGATCAGACCGATGGCGTGGCGTCCCTTGTTGTTGGTGGGGATAGCGACATCGACGTACTCGGTGGGGGAGTCTCCGTCACAGAGGGCCTGTTCTGGGTTAGTTTCCAAATCCTCTTCCTAATTCTACACGAGTTGCTTACAATGACGGGGATGTTGACGTAGGAAGCCTCCTTGATGGCCTGCGCGTCGGTGCGGGGGTCGGTGACGATGACCAGGCGGGGCTCACGGAACGAACGGGTGATGTAGTTGGTGAAGTTACCGGGGGTGAAGCGACCGGCGATGGCAGTGGCACCAGTGTGGGAAGCGAACTTCAGGACGGCACGCTGTCCGTAGGGACGGGCAGAGATGACACAGACTATTCACGCAGTGTCAGCCAAAGTCGTGTGTGCCAATATCCGCATCTTTCAAGATTATGCATCTGGAATTGCGCGAGTGAACGTACTGTCGGCCGGGTTGTCAATGGCGACAATGATGCGCGCGGCGAGGACAATCTTCTCCCAGGTCTTGCCAATGTTCAAGACGTTGACACCGTCGGGCCTGGTCTTCCACAGGTAAGGCTCCATGTGCACCTGGAGGTTCTTGGAACCGAGGTGGCACTGAGCAGCGAGGAGCATCTCAATGTCCTGCTGGGTGGGGTTGAAGATGGCGGGGAGGTTGGAAGGAGCCATTTTGACGGTTTGGCGCTGTACGAGCTGGTCGGTATACAGGAGTTGTCGGGTTGCGTGCGAGAGACTGAGTCGACGAACTTTCGTGTTCGCGATATTCGCATCGTGGTGGGAGCGCCTAGCCGCAAGCGGACTGGCGCAATGACGCGCCGGCATCGGCAAAACCAGTCGCCGGCCATGGATCCGCAAAAGATTCGAGGGTGGTGGCAGCGAGAGTGCAGCCAGCCATGCCGCCGCGAATACCAGCCCTGTCGTGCCTGCGGGCGCCGACGTGTACGTATAGGCTGTCATCGATCCCCCGCTTGTACTGACATCTTCCCAGCTTTCTCGACCACCAATCAACTCACCCTCCCCATCCGAACTTTCGCCTCCACATCGCACCTATACGCCGAGTCAGCCGAACGCCAGAAGAAGCGCCTCGCGAACGATCCCTATATCGTCGCTCAGCGGAATAGGAAGAAGGCTGCCAATCTCACGCGCCGCGCTGAGCTCGAACAAGGCCGTGTAGCGAGCCTCGGAGACCCAGTCCGCGGTGTTGCAACACCATTCGTAGAATCCTTCGATACTGGAAAGCCAATCACGTACGAAGAGGGCAAGAAGATACCCAAAGATCGGAAACACCTCAACTATGCCTTCGAGCCAGAGACTGTTAGGCAACAATTGGACAGGAGCAAAGACTTGGCTGTTCCGCTGGGTATAATCCCGGAGGAGACCGTGGCCCCCACAACGAAATGGTCCAACTCCATATTCGGCAAGACACAGGCAATTCAATTGTCGGCCGAAGAGATCGAGGAGCAAAGCAAGAAGGATCATGCTCGAGCTGCTGAGGCCATCGCCCGCATCACCGCTCTCGAAAACGGATCGAGCAAAGACCGCATGCGCGTGAACATCACACGCTGTGTAGAGACATTCGGGCGCCACAACACCGATAGGATATTCCCACCCAAGGCGCCATCATTGAGCCGGTCAGGTGCCGAAGAAGTCCGCACCGTACGCCCAGAAACAAATGTTGCGGCGACTGCAAAGCGCGTCGGGCCTGATACTGGGTCGTCCGAAGTCCAGATCGCCATCTTGACAGCAAAGATCAAGACCCTGGCCGACTTCTTACAAGCCCGAGGAAAGGGCGACAAGCACAACAAGCGGAACCTGCAATTGCTGGTGCACAGGAGGCAGAAGTTGCTACAGTACCTAAGACGGAAAGAGAGAGGTGGTCCGAGGTGGCAGCATTGTATCGAGACTCTTGGGCTGACCGAAGGTACCTGGAGAGGCGAGATATCGTTGTGAGAGAAACCGAATAGATTCTGTTCTTCACCCTTCCCTCTAACACCTTCCACTTTTGCATCGATGAATTGTAGTAGATACATGCATCCACTTGTCATGAGTAATCACGCACATGTATCATATGAGTTGAAAGCACCCTTGTAAGTATACTGCTAAACGAGGTGGATCAATCCATGCCCATGCTTTCCGTATCGCCTTCCCACTTTCCCATCTCAGCAAAGTCTAATCTCGCATTACCTCCCCCAGCTCTTGCGACTATGAAGGGCGCAATCACGTGAAGGGCGTAAAGTTAGGCGTCCGCCAACTCTATACCACGTTCTCGCCATGAGGCAGCAACATTACCAAAGAATACATCCCCGCAAGCATCACGCTCTCAAAAACCACGTGCTCCCCTGTGATCCCAAGAAACTTGCAACGCCCCAAACAACTACGATAATGTCAACCCCACCCCCAAACCCAACACCCCCACCGAACCCCTGGTCCAGCCAACGCCTGCACTACCGCGCAATCCGCCCCATCGACATAAATGTCTTCCACGCCTTCAGCGCCGACCACACCGGCTACGCAAACAGCAACTTCGACAACATCAAGCTGCCCGGCCCCTCCGACACTGAAAAATTCATGAAAGGCGTCCAAAACGACTGCCTTTTGGGCGCCATCATCTGGCTACCCCACGCCCCAGAAACGCTCTCTTTGAATCACGAAGACCGCGAAAAAGCATTCGCAACTCGTCGCAAGAACGGAGAGATTATAGACGAAGAGTACGGCACAGCCGTCGGCGAAATCCATTTAGATTTGTTGCCGCCCCATAAACAACATCATCGCAATACGGAGATTGGGCTTGATATCCTACCGTTGTATCAGGGAAAGGGGTATGGGTCTGAGGCTATTAGGTGGGCGCTTGATTATGCGTTTAGGCGGGCGGGTTTGCATAGGGTTAGGGTTAGGGGGTTTAGCTGGAATGAGGGTGCGCTGAGGTTGTATGAGAGGTTGGGATTTGTGGTTGAGGGGAGGGAGAGGGAGAGTGTGTGGTTTGAGGGGGGTTGGTGGGATGTTGTTACGTTGGGGATGCTGGAGGGGGAGTGGCGGAAACTCGTGAGTTAGTTGAAAGAATTCAGATATTATTCTGCTGCAATGACACGTGTTTTGCGCAGATAGTAATGACGGAATTGAGCAACAGGAAACTACGTCTCTCACGTGCTCTGCTCGCGAATCAAGGCATACCGTACTGCAACCCCCCTCTACTAACATCCCTGATCACCATCGTCGCATTATTCGCCCGTTTCTCCGCCGCATCATAAAGCGCCTGAATATCCTCCTTCCACATAGTCTCATTCATCCGAATGACCTTCCTATCATAAGTCATCATCCCATTAACCTCGCCTTCCACATCCGTAGTCTGCGTCCAAACCCCACCCGAGCAAGCAAAAAGATCGATCTGCTCGCGCAATTGGTTGAGCAAATCGTGGCAGCGGTAGTTCCACCAGTTAGTTCCGTTGGTAAGTTCGTATGCGGTCTGCTTCTCCAGGTCTTTGAACCAGGCGTGCGCGTAGTTGTCTTCGGGGAGCTGGGTGCCGATGCCGCCGAATTCGCCTTGCAGACCGATGCGCGAACTGTCGTAGGCGGAGTCGTAGTTGTTGCCTTGGCGGGACCAGAATGGCGTTCCGCATTGGGGTGTGGAGTAGTGGTGGTTGTCGTCGAAGTCGCCAGCTGTGTGGTCCGTCCAACCACTGACAGAATTGACTAGGCGGGTGGGATCGATTTTTCTGACCATCTCCGTCAATGGGAACTCGGGCCATGGAGGCGAGGTATCCTGGCCCCATTCCTCGTTGTAGATTGTCCAAGCAAAGATACTGGGATATGATTTGAGCTGCTCTACCATCAAAGCCAACTGACGATCAAACTCATCTTGCGCATCTTGGCCTGCTAATCGCTTACTACCACAGCCGTCCGGCAGATCTGGTCGTAGAGAAGGCATGTCTTGAATGACCAACATCCCCATCTCGTCGCAAGCTCTGTAGAACAAGGCTGGTTCCACTTTGATGTGCTTGCGTACCATGTTGTAGCCGACATTCTTCAGCACCTTGAGATCATACACCATGGCTTCGACACTTGGGGGTGTGTAGATTCCGTCTGGCCAGTATCCTTGATCGAGAGTACCGAAGGGGAAAACAAACTTTCCGTTCAAGAGTGGGCGCTGTATACCGTTGATGGTGCCACGGGAAACAGTTCTGAATCCGGTGTAGCTCTGAATGGTGTCGCTGGCCATTTTGATGGTTATGTTGTACAGGTTGGGACTGTCGGGAGTCCATAGCTCTGGTGACGGGACATTGAAGGTAAATGCGGATCCGCTAGTACCCTTAGCTGTCGCCTTGGCATCGGTTGAGCCCAGTTCATGGACTGTGATCTCATAAGGGATGTTCGTCAGGTTGGTGCTGCTGTGAACAGTCACGGTCACTTCCATAGTTAGCGATGGCCATCAAGGAGCACGGTCCATATTTACCAGTCCCATCCATATCCGCTGTTAAGTCCAGCTTCGAAATATGCTCTTTTGGTGTTGACTCAAGCCACACGGTCTGCCAGATACCGCTACATGGTGTGTACCAGATCATGCCCTCTCGGTTCAACGTTTGCTTTCCGATCGGTATTTGAACCATATCCACATCCGTCGGGTCGAAGGTGTAGACCAGCCTGTGATAACCTTAGCTTTATCACCAATCCTCGGTTTACGATACTCACAGTTCATTCGTCCCATTTGCGCTCAGGTACTGAGTTACGTCTACACTAAACTCAAAGTATCCACCTCTGTGGAAGCCGGCATTCTTGCCATTCACGAAGATGGTGGCCTCGTAGTCAACAGCGCCAAAGTTCAAGATGACGTTGTTGCCGCTAGGCCATGATGATGGTACTGCGAATGATGTCTGGTACCAACTCCACATGCGACCCTTTCCTGTCACACCTTGGCTGCATCAGTAACCTATCTAGCCGGAAATCTGGATTGACTTACCCGAGAGAGCACTCTCAAGGCAGAAGGGAACTAGGACCGGGTTTTCCAGTGTCTGCCCGAAAGGTGGTGATGCGTCCGAACCATTTGTAGTATTCCTGTATCCCCATACACCATTGAGGTTCTTCCAGTCCGTTCGCTGAAGGCGTGGTCGTGGGTACTCTGGCCAAGGATTGGTCCCCACTGTGTCCGTCCATTCCGTCTTGAGTGGAGTATATCCAACCTTGTAGTCTGTCCGATTACTTTGACGCGGATTAACCGTATTGACAGTGGCAGCAACAGCTGACCACGTCAATAACCCTGTAACAAGCCCAAAGCTGAGCTGCATGATCAAAATACCGGTTGGTAGGTGCGCATCCAAGATGCGGTAAGGAACCGTTGAGATGCGGAGGACGACGGCGGCTTTTAAACCTTAGGTGGGTTCATGACAACATGGTTCAATGGTACCTGTGACGGCTTTGCAGCTGCATATTGGTATTCTTAGTTCTGGGAATAGCGGCGGGATGATCCTGGTGGCTGCACACCGTCGACGATCATGCTACTACTGAGGTAGCTCGGCGCATGTTTGGACAGGCCAGAGTAGTCGCGTGGCCGGGCGGGCTGATCTGATGCATGGCGTTCAGTATGCGTTTGCAGAGCACTCGGTTACTGCATAAGCCTGGCGCCTTGGAAACGACGAGGCTGACGGTGAACGTCGAAGAGGTGGTTGTACGTCAACGCCGTGGATGCATGCCTGACGCTTACCTACCTGCAGAGTGTCAGATGCATGGACGTAGTAGAACAAGTCTGATCAGCTGCGATCAGCGTCTTGGCTACAGGGCCGGTTGATTCCCCGCACCATACGGATCAAATGGGGCCGGATTCTAGGTTCGGACCAGCGAACAATGACCCGAAGGTGGCATATAGACATTGCAGACAACAGCACGTTATGAGGTTTGACAGCAAGAACGTTGGGATGCATTTGGGCCGACTAGAAAGGGACGCCGTCAATACTATATATGCGCAATGGACATGAAGTTGTTGGCGATAGTCTGACAGAGTCATGCAGATGTAGGATGCGGGGATACCCCGCCTCAGCAAATGCGGTCGATGAGATCAGCGTAAAGCTGCGACGATCTCGTATGCGGCTCAGAGATACACTCAGGAACCAAAAGTCTGCAGATGTTCGTTGTAAGGTATTAGGTATATTCGTGCTACGTTGTAGGAAACTTGAACAGTACACTCGCTGAGCTGTCAGGATCGTACAGGACACGCCTATGTCTGCGTAGGTGTGGGGCACTTCACATGTGCTGTTGCTCACCACATGCCTGTAACATCGGCATTCTCTAGCCGTATGCATGCCCGCCATTCGCATGATAGCAGCGCTCAGGTCGTTCACCACCTTCCTATTTCTCTTGCGATATCACCCCGTGCCGTAAGGCTGGTACCGCCACGTGCCACCCAAGACTGCACTGCATACAACCCCGCAATCTATAGCAACCTCGCGGATGTCTGAGTATGCTCAGATGATGAAGACGCGAGAAGAGGTTGAACGCGATGCCTGCTCGAGTCTAACATTATGGGTCTCGATCCTGCAGAATCTCATGGCATCAGCATGAATGGCTTGCTCCAAGACTTCCCCTTCGCGGCTGATGACGTCGGTCTCGAAGGGCTTGAAGAGCTTGGGAACATTGGCGACATTGGGGACCGTGGTGATGTTGGTGAAGTGGGAGAGCTTGGTGGTATTGGGGCTTCCCTCGGTGATTCATATGCTCTGCCAATTTGGGCTTGTGTGGCTATGGGTTCTAGCGTCTTTATCGAAGCGCTATCATCTTCTTCGATACCGAACAAGGTCGTTCGGTCGGAATACGAGTTCAGTATCGAGCTTACACGCGTCGTGCTTGAGCGTATAGTATCCGCGTCAGAGGTACTCGAACTCGTTGAAGTCATTGTTGACATTGTCATTAGCGACGCCCTATCCGAGCCGGAATACGACGATGCCGCTACTCCAATATCATGT